ACTGCTGTTCTCATTGTGATCTGTGACTTTTGTGGAAACCCATGGACTCAGCACTGACAACAATTCTGATTCTGCGTTGGCCTGATGGAGTCCGCTACACTCCATGTCTTCCTGAGACCCCACTCCACCCAACCCACAAATTACTCACAGCAGGCCCATTCGCAGGCAGCCAGACCCACCCTGTGCTTTTCCTGGGCAGTGAATTTGACAGCAAATAACATCTTTTAGCTCATGTGGCTCATGCATCCTGGGAGAAACTTTTGGTTGGGGACCATAAACCCTGCCCTAAGCTACAGTATTTCTTGAACAAGTCTTGGGTATCCACAAGCCGGAGGTGGGCAGTGGCTGGCCTTCCTGAGACTTTTAAGGAAAGTCACAGATTCAGCACTGGCACAAAAACTGATTCTGCACTGGCCAGGAGGAAATCTACTCATTTTACCCCAGTGACTCCCTGGGTCCATGTACCACCCACCCCATGTACCACTCAAAGGCTCTTCCAGCTGTGGAGACTGATAGGCAATTGGCAGGTAGCCTCAGGCCTTGAGGTGCACTGGTCCTTTTGCTAAGCCACCCCAGGTCTGGTACTGGGGGTAACCAGACCTTGGTTTGTAGCATTGTCTCTCCTATTTGCCTCCAGATCCAGCACAGGCAGCAATCATCAGTGGACTGCTTGGTATCCCCTACCAGGCAGCCCTGAGCAATCAAAGGTAGTAGCTGGCCTTGACCTACTTGGAAACCCCACCCAAGGGGCCGCAAAACCAACACACCTGGAGTCTGGCATCAGACCACAACAGAGCGAGCACCACCTGACTAGCCTCATAAGCGGAACACCAAAAAGGTAGTCTCAACAGGTACGCAAGCCTGCTGGAGCAATCCCACTCCTAGAGTTCAGCCCTATACAGCAATTCATACACTGTGGGCATGGCCAATCCTCACAGCCAGTTAGCCCAAGAGTCAGTTCCATCCACTGACACACTAACAGCAATCAAGGCTTAGCTACAATAGGGGAACACACACAACACACACAAGGAACACACCCAGAGTCCCCAGTGCAGGAGATTAGGGAGCTTGTACCACTGGGCCTCACAGGGCATCTACTACATAAGGCCATCTGGCCAAGGCTGGAAGATTTAACAAATCTTCCTAATATGTAGAAACACACACAGAGAGGCAACTAAAATGGAAAACAAAGAAACATGCTGTAAATGAAACAACAGGAGAAAAATCTAGAAAAAATCTAGAGGAGAAGTAGCTATGAACCCCATAGAAATTTAAAGGATTATAAGAAAACATTACAAGCAATCATATGCCAACAAATTGGACAATCTTGAAGAAATGGATACATTCTTAGAAGCATAAAGTCTCCCAGGACTGAGACAAGAAGAACCAGACAATCTGAACTGACTGCTTATCGTCAATAAAATCAAACCAGTAATCAAAAAACTTCTAAAAAACAAAATCCTGGACCAGATAGCTTCATGTTGAATTTTATTCAACATTCAAAGAAGAATTAATACCTCTTCTTTCTGAAACTATTCCAAAAATTCATGAGGAGACAAGGCCCTCTAATTTTTTTATGAGGCCACCATTTCCTCAATTCCAAAACTAGACAGACATTACAAAACAAACAAACAAACAAACAAAACTATAGGCTGATATTCCTGATGAACATAAATATAAAAATCTTCAACAAAATATTAGCAAACCAAATTCAGTAATATATTAAAAATATCATGTACTATGATCAAGTTGGTTTTATTCCTGGGATGCAAGGTTTGTTTAATATCTGCAAATCAATTAATGTGATGCACTACGTTAACAAGTTGAAAGATAAAAATTATATGATCATGTCAATAGGTGCAGAAAGTGACAAAATCCAGCATCTATTTATGATAAAAATCCTCAGCAAAGTGGGAATAGATGGAACATATACCTCAACATAATAAGACCATATATGACAAACCTAAAGCTAATGTCATACTCAGTGGGGAAAAGCTAAAAAGCATTTTCCTTACGATTGGGAACAAGACAAGGATGCCTGCTTTCACCCCTTCTATTCAAGATTGTATTGGAAGTCCTAGCTTTAGCAATCAGCCAAGAAAGAAAAATAAAAGGGATCCAAATTGGAAAAAAAATAAAACTGTCATTATTTGCTGATGACATGACACTATGCATAGAGAACACTAAAGATTCCACCAAAAAACTATTAGAACTGATAAATGAATTCAGTAAAGGAGCAGGATACAAAATTATATTTAGAAGTGTTGCATATTTATACACCAAGGATGAACTATCCAAAAGAGAAATTAAGAAAACAATCTCATTTACAATTGCATCAAAAACAATAAAATTCCTAGGAATCAAAATAATCAAGGACTTAAAAGAACCATACAGAGAAAATTATAAATTGTTGAAAAAAAATTGAAGAAGATATAAATAAATAAAAGCATATACAGGTGCTCATGAGTAGGAAGAATCAACATCGTTAAAAAGGTCATACTACCCAAAGCTATCTATAAATTTAATGCAATCTTTATCAAAATATCAATAGCAGTCTTCAGAGAACTAGAACAAATAATCCAAAAATTTATATAGAATCATAAAAGACTCTGAATTGCCATGGCAATCTTGAGTCAGAAGAATGAAGTTGGAGGTATCATACTACCTGATATCAAACTATACTACAAGGCTATAGTAATCAAAACAGCATGGTACTGGCATAAAAACAGATGCATAGATCAATGGAACAGAATGGAGTACCTAGAAATAAATCTACACCTATATGATCATTTAATCTAGGGGTCTCCAACCCCCAGGCTGCAGACCAGTACTGGTCTGTGGCCTGTTAGGAACTGGGCTGTACGGCAGGAGGTGAATGAGTGAAGCTTCATCTATATTTGTAGCTGCTCCCCAGTGCTAGCATCACCACCTCAGCTCCACCCCAGATCATCAGGCATTAGATTCTCTTAGGAGAACAGGTCTCTAGTGCCAAAAAAGTTGGAGACTGCTGATTTAACCTATGACAAAGGAAGCAAGAATATGCAATGGGGGTAAAGACTTCTCTTTAACAAATGATGATGAGAAAACTTGATGGATACATGCAAAGAAAAATGAAACTGGACCACCTTCTTACACCATATGCGAGAATAGGCTTAATATGGATTAAAGACTTAAATGTAAAACCTGAAACCAGAAAACTTCTAGAAGAAAACATAGGGAGCAAACTCTCTGATTTTGCTATTAGTAATGTTTTGTTTTGTTTTGTTTTGTTTTGTTTTTCTTTCTGGCATATATCATTGGACAAAGGAAATAAAAGAAAAAATAAAATGGAACGACAAGAAACTAAAAAGTTTTAGCACATCAAAGGAAACTATGAACAAAATGAAAAGACAACATACTGAATGGGAGAAGATATTTGCTAAAGATATGATACATCTAATAAAAGATTAATATTCAAAATTAAAGAACTTATACAACTCAACAACAAAAAAAAAACAAACAATGCAATTAAAAAATGGGCAGAAGACCTAAATAGGTAGTTCTCCAAAGAGGAAATATAGATAGCCAATAAACATATGAAAAGATGCTCAAGATCCCTAATCATTGGAGAAATGCAAATTAAAACCACTGTGCGATATGACCTCACACCTATCAGAATACTTATCATCAATAAATCAGAAAACAAGTGTTGGCGAGGATGTGGAGTAAAGGGAACCCTTGTACACTGTCGGTGGGATTGCAAAATGGTAGTGCCACTATGGACAGCAGTTTTGGGTTTCCTCAGAAAATTGAAAAATAGAACTACTTTATGACCCAGCAATTGTATTTCTGGGTATTTATCTGAAGAAAACCAAAACACTAATTTGTAAAGATCTATGCATCCCTATGCTCATGACAGCACTATTCACAATATCCAAGATATGGAAGCAACTTAAGTGCCCATTGATAGATGATTGGATAAAGAAGTTATGGTTCTTGTAAACAATGAAATAATACTCAGCCATAAAAAAATAAAATTTTACCATTTGCAACATCATGGGTGGACTTAGAGGGTATTATGTTGAGTGAAATAAGCCAGAGAAAGATAAAGACCATATGATTTCACTTATATGCAGAATCTAAGGAATGAGAGAAATGAACTAAATGAAAACAGAATCACAGATACAGATTCAATCTGATGATGGCCAGAGGGGAGGGGGTTGGGACTGGGTGAAAAGTGTGAAGGAATGAAGAAGTAAAAAGCAGTAGTTGCAAAATAGTCACAGGAACATAGAGTACAACATAGGGAAGAGTCAATAGTATTGTAATAGATATGTGTAGAGCCAAATAGGTGTTAGAGTAATTGGGGGGATCACTGCATAAACTATATGAATGTCTAAACAATATACTGTACACCTGAAACTAATATAAAATAATTTTTTTTGAAATGAAAAGGCAACCTGCAGATTGGCAAAAGCATTTGAAAACATATATCTGATAAGGGGTTCTTATCTAAAATACATAAGCAACTCACAACTCAATTACAAAAAAAAAGTCCAATTAAAAAATAGGTATAGGACCTGAAGACACATTTTTCCAAAGAAGTAATTCAAATAGTCAAAAGTTGCATAAAAAGATGCTCAATATCACTAATCATTAGGGAAATTCAAATCAAAACCACATTGAAATATCACCTCACAACAGGTAGAATGGTTACCATCAGAAAGACCAGAAATAACAAATACTGGTGATGATGTGGGGAAAATCTACCCCATGATTTTGCTCAGAAGCTGGTGGGCTGGGCATGCATACCCCACAAATCATCAGTCTCCAAAGAGAATCAGAGGAATCAGAGGCAGTATATCCTGAAATGTCGGAATGAGGGCAGCACAGACAACCTGAGTCCTGTCATCACTACCAGCTTTTGGGCTACTTTATCCAACATCTAGTATTTGCCCCCTTTCCAGAAGATTGAATATAGAATCACCTTCCCTACTCTACATCCCAGAATTGTTTTGAGGATGACAGAAGTGCAGCGAAAGGGCTATGGAAACTGTAAGTATTTCAACAATAACTATGGACCGTCATGCCACTGTTAGCCATTAAGTACGATTTATTCAGCAGAGGAGTTAAAAATTGAATCAAGGCAATCTTTTAAAGCCTGAAGCCCTGCCCCTTGCCTTCCTTCCTTGAAGGCCAGAAAGTGCCCAATGCACAGCTCAGCTTCCCAGGGACACATTCAGACAGAACAAACTGTTCTGAAAGTGCACACAAACTGTAACGTGGGTCTGTTGAAGAAAGAAGCAAAACACTTATAGTAATAAAGCAAAAGACTTTCACTATTTAGTGAAACATCTCAGAGAAGCACACAACAATCTCTCTGGAGTCCAGTAAAAATGGAAGTCATTTGGGTGAAAAACAAATCAGCACAGCAAAATGAAACCCAAAACCCACAGTGAGCTTCTAATAACTCTTGAGAAGGCAACTCTTAGCAATCACCTGCCCCTCCAGCTGTTTAAGGGGTATGCAGGACACAAATCCTGGCCAACTTTATAGCAAGTTGAGAGCCATCCAGAAACTCTATGGTGTCCTTTTTTCCTTTCCAAATGAGAAAGTCCCAGGGAATAAAATCTTGGGCATTCCTTCTGCCTTAGGAACAAGGAGGCCACAGAGACCTTGTTACTTGGCCCTGTCTCCCCATTCAGAGGCTGCAGTTCCCTTGGATCACTTCCTGCCAGCAGTGACACTGGGGAAAGAGGTACTCTGAGTGGCACCTATGGCCAAGGCAAGAGGGCCACTCACATGTCCACGACAAAGTAGAGATCAAAAGCGCTATCGCAGGATCTTATACTCTCTTCTATGCTCCTATAGTGACTGTCACTGTGGTGGAAGTTCCCAAGTCTTGGCTGAGGTGGTGGTATAAATTTCTCCAGCCCAGAATGCTGTACTGGAAGCCACCTACCCTCAGCAGGGAAAGTGTCATCACCAGCAGCAAAAAGGGCAAGGGTCCCAGCACCCGGGGGGGACCACTTCCCATTTTCATGGCCATCCCTGTGGACCCACTGGATGCCAGGTCACTTCAGTCACCTCCGGTTGCCACTTTTGCTGCCTCTTCTTGTGCCCATGGGTATTGGCCCCTCAGCCCTTTCACCAAGGTGCAATGCAAGCCTCCACCTGGTACTTGCCTAGTGGGCAGAAGAGTCCAGCTCCTGACTCTGGGGCAACGATGCCCACTAATTGCTTGGCCCTTCTCTGGCCCAGCAGAGGCAGAACACCTGCTGTTATGATGGATAGTAAGGTTGGCATGGTGACTTTGTGACTCGTAGCTCTGCTCAGTGTTCTGCATATGACAATCACAGGTAGGAATCATGGGATCTTTGTGGGGTAAGAGGCCTCCATTTATTCCTTATCTCAAACATTCACAGTTGGCCATTAAAGTTCTAGAGAAACCCTGCCTTTTTGTAAACTGAAACTGAAAGAGGGCAGCTGTGGTGAATTAGACAAGGGCATCACTGTGGGTGAGAATGCTAAGGACTTGAGAGACTAGAGTGTTATAATGGTCATTCATATGAAAAGCAAAATCGACCAAGGGATGGAAGGGTCTTGAAGGGAGGAGGTCATGCAAGGATGCCAATATCCTTTGTGCATGAGGAACATTCCAGTTAGCTATTCTTATGAAACAAATGTTCCCAAACTTAGTACCATAAAAGAACCAAATTATTATGCCCACAGGTTCTGTGTATCAGAAATTCAGAAAGGGCTGAGTGAAGATGTCTTGTCTCTTCCCCAAAGAAATACATGGGCATAGAAATTTCGAGTCAAAGTGAATCAAAAACTCAGACTGGTAATGTTAAAAGTATCTAATAATTCCTTAACCAGTTTACTTTATTTTTCCTTTTTTGTATGCACAAATGAAGTGATATGTGCTAAACATCTTTCTTTAATAAGTCTAAACTACATCTTTCAGCGCGTATAACTAAAATTACAAGTGATAAAAAACGTGTGTTGCCTGGGTTTTTCTTTTCCAGTGGTATTTATAATGTAATATTTTAAATAAATGATATATTGGAATTGATGAAATTAGTAAACATCGCTATTAGCATATTTTTTCTTCGCTTCACATCCTTCATGACACTTGGTATCATCGTATTTTTATATACTTGCCTATTAATTAGATATTTCACTGTGGTCTTAATTTGCATTTCCCTATTACTGATAAGATTAGTCTGTTCAAGAACTTTGGAGCCACTCATTTTCTTTTTTGTGAAGTGCCTATTCCTGCCTGTATCCATTCTCTGATTCAGGTGTTTGTCTTTTTCATATTGAAACTTTAACATTCCTTATGAACTCTAAATACTAATCTTTTATTAACTGTTGCTTGTTTTTCACTCCATTTTTTGTCTTTTAATAAACCAGAAATTTCTTATTTTAATTTAGTTGATTTGTCACTTTTAAAAACTTAAGATTTGAACTATTGTGTACCCTATGTAAGAAAAATTTCCTTGTTAAGTTGAAACAGATTATATCTGAAAAGTTTTGCCTTTCGCATTGAATATTTAATACATCTGGAATAAATTTATAAGTGTGGTTTGTACCAGGGATCTGATTTAATACTTTTCCATATAGAGAAGAAATTGCCACAGCACCATTTGTTTACTATTCCACCTGTTTCTCAGTGATATGCATTCCACCTCTGATGTGTTTCGAATTCCATAGGTATGGGTCTGGTTCTGTGGTCTGTTCCATTTCTTTCATCTCTCTTTTGGTTTATTTAGTTAATGTCAATCCCACAGTATCTTGTTATAGTGTGGGTCATTGTATTACTGTTCCTCACTGCCCCTCCCTCTTGTAGGAAAAGATTATGCTCTTCAGCCACATTCATGGCAGACTTGAACTTGATTCCACCAATAAAATGTTAATAGAAGTTACATGTGCTATTTATAGACAGGATGTTTAAGAATTTAGGTATGGTTCAGGTGGACCCAACAGCCTTGTACCTGCAACTATGATATAGAGCATGTTCTTGGGAACCTGGGATGGATAGTGCATATAGTACATACAGGATAATGAGATATATGAATGGGAAATAAAGTTTGTTGCTTTTAAGTGATTGACTTGGGGGTTTTGTTACCATAAGATAACCCAGCAGAATCTGATTCACACAGGGTATCAATTACCTAACCTAACAAACACAGACTTTCACAGCAAGCTTGATAGTGTTGACCATAAGAAAGAAGATACCTACTAAGAAAAGCTCCTGGTAGCTATTGGGCTCAAAGTTAAGATCAGAGCCTAGAACGCATTTCTAAACAGGGGCCTCTCAAGTAAATCACACTTCAAGGAGAAGACTGCAATGACCTGCCTGCTTCTGCATTGAGCTGCCTGCCTGCACTGTGTTCCTGTCATCCAAGCCAACCCTTATAAAGGAGTTTTCAAAATTATATTTTGACCAGTACAATTGAGACTTTCCATGTCCAATCAGAGCTGCACAGCTATATCCACATTAGCATCTTCACTAATCAATCAGAGTGGCTCCATTCTGACCAATCAGGATAGTGCTTATTGGACCAATCAAACTGTGAGTATTTGGAGTCTTCATTTGCATGAAGATGGACCAATAGAAACTAGAGGCAGGGACTTCTCTCCATATAAGTCTGCTTCCCTCTGGCTTGGGGAGTGAACTTTCTCTTTCCACTGAAGACTGACGGATGCATTTCCCAGGCTGAAGCTGAAACACTGAAGATGTCTTATTGGACCAGAGTAGAGCAGATTAGAGTGGAACAGAGCATAGCAGACCAGACAGACCAGACACACCAGACAGACAAGAGCAGAGCAGAGCAGAGCAGAGCAGAGCAGAGCTGTCTCACCCCAAAGCAGGATTGCCCCAGGGCTGCCTCATAGCCCTGCTGTTTCATGACGGTGCTGTTTCATAACTGAACTGTATCACCACTGAGCTGCTCCATAGATGTGATGCTCCACAACTGTGTTGTATCACAGTCGAGCTTTGTGCAACGAATGAAATTTCCTTCTTCACTGCACCCCAAAATGGCCATTCCTATTGGCATTGAATTGGCACGAATGACCAGGTCACAATAGTGTGGGCAAATCATCCACCTCATTTTTCTTACGGAAATTGTGGGACATTTCTTTTTCATGTAAAATTGAGAATCAGCTAAGTCTCCACTCCTCCTAAACCCTCTTAATATTTGATTACAATAGCATTAAATATGTATATACATTTGCGGAGATTTGATATCTCTATTGGGACTCCTCCTGTCAGTGAAAATGGCAATGTCTCCATTTATTTAGGTCTTTTTCAATGCCTTTTATATAAATTTCCCTATGAATATCTTGACTTGTTGTGTCAAGTGCCTTCCCTAAATACCTTGTATTTTTTCAACTATAGTAAGTGGCATTTTAAAAATAAAGTTTTAAAGTGTTTATTGCTGTCATTAAGAAATGTTTATATTTATTGATACATTCACCCAACTTGCTAACTCTTTAATTCTAAAATATCTGCAGAGACATTTGGATTTCTATGTAAAATTAAAAACAAAACTCGAAATCATTGTGGTAACTACTACAATGAGATGTTAACTAGAAGCTATGATGGAGGCATTCTTGATTTTAAAGAGAATACTTCTGACACATCACCGTTAAAATATTTATTGAAGGCTTTTGGTAGAAATCCTTTATTAGATTAGAAAGTTTCCATACTATTTTTTTATTTTTTATTATTGAAGTGTAGTTTATTTGCAATATTACATTAGTTTCTAGTGTACAATATGGTCATTTGATATTTACATACCTTAAAATGGATCATCACAGTAAGTCTAGCAACTATCTGCCACCATACAACATTATTATAATATTATTAACTATCTTCGCTGTGAATTATTTATTTTATAACTGGAAGTTTGTAGTTCTTATTCCCCTTCACCCTTGCCATTCATTTCCCCACCCTCCTCCTCCCCCTTGAAAACCATCAGTTTATTCTCTGCATTTATGAGTGTCTTCCTGTGTTTTTTTTTGTTGTTGTTCATTTGTTTTGCTTTTTTAGATTTCACAGGTAAGTGGAATATGTCTTTCTGACTTATTTCACTTAGTATAATAGTCTCTAGCTCCTTTCATGTTGTTGTTAATGACGAGATTTAATTTTTTTATGACTGAGTAATATTCCATTGTATGTAGGTATGACATCTTCTTTATCCATTCTTCTATTGATGGACACTTAGGTTGCTTCCATATCTTGGCTATTGTAAATAATGCAGCAGTGAACATAAGAGTGCATATATCTTTTCAAATTAGGGTTTTTGTTTTCTTCAGATAAATACACACAAGTAGAATTGCTAGGTCATATGATAGTTTAAAAAAACTTTTTTTGAAGTACCTCTATATTATTTTCCATAATGACTACATGAATTTACAGTCCCACTTAACAGTATAGGAGGGCTCCCTTTATTCCACATCCTCACCAACATGTATTATTTGCTGACTTTTTATAATAGCCATTCTGACAGGTATGAAGTGTTATATCATTATGGTTTCAATTTGCATTTTTCTGGTGATTAGTGATATTGAGCACCCTTTCATACTTTTGGCTATTTGTATTTCTTCTTTGGAGAAATAACCATTCAGATCCTCTGCCCATTGTTAAATTGGACTTTTTGAGATGTATGAGTAGTTTATATATTCTGAATATTAACCCCTTATTGGATATATCATTTAAAATATCTTCTCCCATTAAGTAGGTTGTCTTTTTGTTATGTTGATGGTTTTCTTTGCTATGAAAAACTTTCTAGTTTGATGTAGTCCCATTTGTTTATTTTTGCTTTTTTTGCACTTGCCCAAGAAGTCATATCCCAAAAAAAATATATATTGCTAAGACTAATGTCAAAGAGTTTACTATATTTTCTTCTAAGTGTTTTATGGTTTCAGGTCTTACATTTAAATCTTTAATACACCTTGAGTTTATTATTTTTCTATAGTGTAAGAAAGTGGTCCAGTTTTATTTATCTGTCCAGTTTTCTGAAACCCATTTATTGGAGACTTTTACTCCATTGTATATTCTAGTTATGCAAAAAATTCCATTGGTATTTTGATAGGGATTGAATTAAATCTGTAGATTGCTTTGGGTAGTACGAACATATTAACAATGTTAATCATTCCAATCCATGAGCACAGTATGTCCTTCCACTTATTTATGCTGTCTTTAACTTCTTTCATCATGTTTTATAGTTGTCAGACTACAAATTTTTCACCTCCTTGTTCAAATTTATTCTTAAATATTTTATTCTTTTTAATGCAATTGTAAGTGGGATTATTTTCTTAGTTTCTCTTTCTGATAGTTTGTTATTAGTGTATAGAAATGCAACAAATTTCTGAATATTAATTTTGTATCCTGAAATTTTACTAAACTCATTTATTGTTCTCATAGTTTTTCGTGGAATATTTAGGGTTTTCTATATATAGAATGTCATCTGCAAATAGTGACAGTTTTACTTCTTCCTTTCAAATTTGCATGTATTTTTATTTCTTTTTCTTATCTGATTGCTGTGGCTAGAACTTCCAATACTATATTGAATAAAAGTGGTGGGAGTGGGCATCCTTGTCTTGTTCTTGATCTTAGAAGAAAAGATTTCAGCTTTTCACTGTTGAGCATAATGTTATCTGTGGGTTTATCATATATAGCCTTTATTATATTGAAGTATATTTCTCCTATACTCTCTTTGTTGAGAGTTTTTTTTTTATCATAAATGGATGTTGAATTTACTCCAATGCTTTTTCTGTATGTATTGAGATGATCATAAGATTTTTATCCTTGGTTTTAATAATGTAGTATATCACATTGATTGATTTATAGATATTAAACTATTTTTGCATCTCTGGAATAAATACCACTTGATCATGGTATATGATGTTTTAATGTATCATTGAATTCAGTTTGCCAGTACAGTCATGTACCATATAACAACATTTCAGTCAGTGATGGACCACATATATGACAATGGTTCTATAAGATTATAATGCAGCTGAAAAATTCCAATGACCCATGATGTCACTGCTGTCATAATATCATTGTGCAATGCATTACTCACATGTTTGTGGTGATGCTGGTATAAACACATCTACTCTATTGCCAGTTGCATAAAAGTATAGCACACATAATTAAAGTAGTAGGCTTTACCATTTAGGTTTATGTAATTTCACTCTATGATGTTTGCTCTATGATAAATTTTCCTAATAATGCATTTCTCAGAATGTATCCTTGTAATTAAGTGGTGCATAATTATTTTTTTGCTGAGAATTTTTGCCTATGTTCATTAGGGATATTGGCCTCTAATTTTCTTTTTTTGTAGTGTCTTTGTCTGGTTTTGATATTAAGGTAATGCTGGTCTCATAAAATAAGTTTAGAAGCATTCTTTTCAATTTTTTTTGAAATAATTTGAAAAAAATATGTATTCTTTAAATATTTGATAGAATTCACCTTTGAAGCTGTCTGCCTCTGAAATTTAGTTTGTCGGGAGTTGTGTGATGATGATTTAATTTTGTTACTAGTAATCACTCTGTTCAGATTTTCTATTTATTCCTGTCTAAGACTTAGAAGATTATATGTTTCTAGAAGTTGAATATTTCTGCTAGGTTGTCCAACTTGGTGTATAATTGTTCATAGTATTCTTTTATGAGCCTTTATATTTCTGTGGTGTCAGTTGTAACTTTCATTTTTGATTTTACTTTTACTTAGTTCTCTCTCTCTCTCTCTCTCTCTCTCTCACTCTCTTTCTCTCCCGCTTCCTCTCCCACTCCATCTCCCTCCCTCCCTCTCTCAATATATCTGTCTACATGTTCATTGATGTTGCTTATCTTTTCAGAGAATAAGCTCTTAGTTTCATTGGTCTTTTCTATTATTTTTTTTAGCCCTTATTTTGTTTATTTCCACTCTGATCTTTATTATTCCCTTCCTTCTACTCTGAATTTTATTTGTTCTTTTTCTAGTTTCTTTAGGTGTAATGTTATATTGTTCATTTGGGAATTTTCTTGTTTCTCAAGGTCGGCCTGTATCACCATGAACTTTCTTCTTAGAACTGCTTTTGTTGCATCCCCTAGATTTTGGAAAGTTATGTTTCCGTTTTCATTTGTCTCAAGATATCTTTTCATTTTCTCTTTGATTTTTTTACTAACTCATTTGTTGTTTAGTAACCTGTTGTTCAATCTCCATGTGTTTGTGTTTTTCTTAGTTTTCCTCTTGCAATTGATTTCTAGTTTCATTTCATTATGTTTGGAGAAGATGCTTGATAACATTTTGATCTTAAATTTATTGAGATTTGTTTTGTGGCCTAACATATGACCTATTCTAGAGAATGTTTTATGTGCACTTGAAACATTCTGCTGGGTTGGGATTTAATGTTCTATCTCTGTTGTAATAAGTCTAACACTTAAGGCTAAAATTTTATGTCATTTTAGGCTAATGTTACCTTACTGATTTTCTATCTGGATGATCTATCCATTGATGTAACTGGAGTATTAAAATCATCAACTCTTATTGTAAACTCTTCCTTTATGTCTGTTAATATTTGTTTTAAAATATATTTAGGGGCCCCTATGTTGGGTACACAAAATTTACGAATGTTATATCCTCCTCTTGGATCGATACCTTTATTATTATGTAGTGCCCTTCTTTGTCTCTTTTTATAGCTTTTGTTTAAAAGTCTATTTTGTCTGATATAACTATTGCTAACTCAGCTTTATTTTTTCAATTTTTATTTGCATGGAATATGTTTCGCATCTCTTCTCTTTCAGTCTGTGTGTTTTTAGATTTGAATTGAGTCTTTTGTAGGTAGCATATAGATGGTTCTTGTTTTAAAAATCCATTCAGCCACTTTATGTCCTTTGAGACTGAAACATTTTGTCCATTTATAGTTAAAATAATTATCACTATGTATTTATTGACATTTTGTTCATTGTTTTGGTTGTTTTTGTAGTTCTTCTCTGTTCCTTTTTTCTTTTCTTGGCTCTTGCCTTTGGTTTGATGATTTTTATTAATGTTGTCTTTGGGTTTTTTTCTCTATTTTTGTGTATCTTGTAGGTTTTCGGTTTGTGGTTACTATGAGGTATAATATATATATTTTAAGCTGACAGGCATTTAAGTTCCAACATATTCTAAAAGTGCTACATTTTTACTCCCCTTTCTATGCTTTAAATTTTTGACATATCCCCTACTTATTGTAGTTACAATTGATTTTGCTAGTTTTGTTTTTTATCTTCACACTAATTTTTTATTTGGTTTATTCACTACCTTTACTATATATTCCTCTTTACTAATGTGAGTTTTCTTTCATATATATATATTTATTTCTGGTTTTGGTCTTTCGTTCTCTGCTTATAGAAGATCCTTTAACACTTCTTGTGAAGCCAGTGTAGTGGTGATGAACTTCTTTAGTTTTTGCTTGTCTGGGGAAACTCTTAATCTCTCCTACGATTTTAAATGTTAATCTTGCCAGGCAGAGTATTCTAGGTTGTAAGTTCTTTCTTTTGAGCACTTTAAATATATCTTGCCATTCCCTTCTAGCCTTCGAAGTTTCTACTGAGAAATCAGTTGATAGCCTTATGGAGTTTTCTTCGTATGTGAGTAGGTGTTTGCTGTTGTTGTTGTTTTCTTTCTTTCTTTGTTTTTTGGCCTTTGCTTCTTTCAAGATTCTTTCTTTATCTTTAACTTTTGCCATTTTAATTATAATATGTCTCATTGCGTATCTCTTTGGATTCAATTTATTTGGGACTCTCTGTGCTTCTTGGTTCTGGATATCTGTTTCCTTCCCGTTTATGAAAGTTGTTAACCATTATTTCTTCAAATATGTTTTCTCTTTCTTCTCTCTCTTTTCTCCTTCTGGAACCCCTATAATGTGAACTTTAGTATGCATGAAGTTGTCTCAGAAGTCTCTTAAACTCTCATTTTTTTAAAAAAATTATTTTTAATTCTTGCTGCTCTGATTAGGTAATTTCCATTATTCTGTCTTCCAGGTCGCTAATTCATTCTATCTTCTCTAATTTGTCCCTCTATTGTATTTTTCATTTTAGTTGTTGTATTCCTCAGCTCTAATTTTTTTTTTATATATATTTCTAAGTTTTTGTTAAAGTTCTCACTGTGTTCCTTTATTCTTCTCCTGTTTGGTAAGCATCCTTACCAAAAATTCTTTATCAGGAAAATTAGTTATCTCTGTTTTACTAGGTTTCCCCGCCCCCTTGTGATTTTCATGTTCTTTCATTTGGAATACATTTCTTTGTTTCCTCAGTTTATTTGACTTTCTTTATTGGTTTCTATGAATTGGACAAAAGAGCTACCTCACCAAATCTTGAAGGTATGTGTTTGCTAAAAGTAATCTCTATGTAGACTGCATGTTTAGAGTGGCTTTGGCAGGCCAGCTGGAATCAAAGCAAGTCTATGGTGCCTAGGGTTCCCTCATGGGCTGGCTGGCTGGGTCTAGGGTGGGCACAGGTCCAGATGCCCTGGGTGCACAGCTCCTGGGGTCCTCTGGTGAGCTGACTGGCTGGATCAACAGCAAGTACAGGTTGATGTACCTCCTGTCTGTGTCTCCGGGGGTGCCTTGGTGGGCTAGCTGGCTGGGTTAGGCACTGGCCAAGAGAGGGCACTGTGGTGATCTTGCAAGGCTGGATGGAGCACTTGAACTGAATTCCGGCCTGTGTTATCTAGGTGTAGGGGGAATGTAAAAATGGCACTCACTGGCACCTTCAATTTTGGAAAGTTCCTGTAGATTCCAGAAAGTTCCTGCAGTTCCCCACACATTTGACAGGTTCCTTGGGGACAATAAATGGATTTTTTTCATGTATAGTATATGTGCCCTTTAAATTGCTATTTTATCACTGTGCCCCTGGGCAAATAAGTCTGAGTATGGGCCTCTCAGTGATATCTCTCCCATTGTAGGTGGCCCCTTAAAGGTAGGGTTCCCGTGGTTACCACATCTCCAACTCTTTTACCATTCTCTGTGTAGTCTCTCTGTTGTTTGTTGTGAAGAAGCTGTCAATCAACCTTCAATTGTTTTCCAGGATAAATTGCTTATATGTAGGTGTATAATCAGTGTGTCTGTGAGAGGAGGTGAGCTCAGGGTTTTCCTATGCTACCGTCTTCTACAACCAGATCGCTACTATTCTTGGTTTGCTACAAATCATGGAATGCGTGTTGAATTTATCTAAATCCTTCTTCTGCTTATAGTGATTAATACGTATTTTACTTTTTAAAATTTATAGTACATATATTTCCAGTAATATATTAAAATGATTAATTACATTAATGCATGTAAAACCAATTTTAATATTTTATATTAAATCCAACTTGGCCATGATAATTTTTTGAACACTGATGGATTAAGTTTACTATTAGTTTAGTTCTTTTTTTTTAACATGATTGTGAGGGAGGTTAGCCTATAATTCTCTATTTTTGTAATGTCCTTAACTGTTTTTGACATTAGGTAATAATAGCCTCACAAAATGCATTTAGTGCTTTTCTTTAGTTTCTCCTTGGAAAGACTTTGAACATGACCCCAATAATCTGCTTCTTGACTATTTGGTATATCATCTGTGCCTGATTTTCTTTGTTGAAAATCTTTAAACTACTGATATTATTTATTAGATATTCACTGAATAGTATAGGCAATTCATATTTTGAAGCTTTAACTCTTAATGTGGCTGTATTTGGAGATAGGGCCTTTAAGGAGGTGATTAAGGTTAAATGAAGTCATAAAAGTGAAGCCTTAATCCTATAGGTCTGGTGTCCTCATAAGAAGAGGAAGAGATGCCAGAGCTCTCTTTCCATGCAGGCATAGAAAAGGCCAAGTAAGGACACCGTGAGAAGGCAACTTTCTACAATCCAAGAGGAGAGGCCTCAATAGAAACCAACTCTGCTGACACCTTGATCTCGGACTTTCAGTCTCTAGAACTATGAGAAAATAAATTTCTATTGTTTAAGCCACCCAGCCTGTGGTTCTTTGTTATGCCAGCCTGAGCAGACTAACACACTGGATTATTTAGTGCTTCTATTTCTTTGATCAGTCATTTTAAGTAACATATTTTTCTAGGAATTTGAACATGTATTCACATATAGCAGTATAAAGTTGTTCAGAATAATTTTGACTTTTATATTTATGCTCTATCTATAGTACTATCTTCTTTTTAATTCTTATTACTACTTATTTCTTTTCTTATTCTTTGCATTCACAACAGGAAAGATATTGCCTTCAGGGGATGATAATTATACTTATTGTTTTAATTATAAAGCACAGTACATGAAGAGATGTACAGTAAAACTGTGGTATTAAAATTTCATGAGGTAACTATAAGTAAAAAAGTATTTTAAAAAGATCTTAGGGCAGGTTATATACATATTTTTAAAGTTGGGAAGCACTGTCTTATTTAATCAATTTCATGAGAGTATTATCTACAATAGTAAACTTTTCAAGTAATTTTTGGTTTGTTTTCACTTGATTTTAATTTTTGTATTCTATTTATTCTTTCTCTAAAATGTTCCTTTCATTTTTGTTGGGTTTATTTTATTATTATTTTTCTAATATTTTTAGATAAATTATTAAATCATTGACTTTCACTCTTTCTTTTCTGTAACATAAGCCTATTGGGCCATGAATTTTTCTCTAAGTTTCTCTTTCATTGTACCTCATAAGTTTTCATGTCATATTTTATTGCCATTTGATTTAAGTATATTTTAATTTAGTTTTATCTTTTGATCCATAATTACTTACTTGTAAAATTTTAAATTTTCAATTGTACATATTTTTTCAAATATTATTTTTGTCATTAATTTCCACCCTAATTGCATATGATATGAGAACATGGTCTGTATTGTACTATTTCTCTGAATTTTATTGAGATTTGTTTCAGTACATGATTGGGTAGAAGATTACTTACAAAACCATTAAACCAAGTTTATTTTGTTGTTCAAATCTATGTTTTAAGTAATACTTTGTCTTCTTGAGAGATGAGTATTGAAATTTTTCACCGTAGTAATGGATTTGACAAATTTCTCTGTCTTTATTTCTCATTTATGTTTATCATTTTTACTTTATTAGGTGTATATCAGTTTAAAATTTTTATAGTTTTCTGGAAAATTTACCCTCTTTAATCCTAACATTGTTTTTACTGTACTGTAGACTTCAGCCTTTTAGTTTGCCCAACATATCTGGCATATGTATTTTCATTCCTTTATAGTCAATTGTCTTATGTCCTTATGTATTAGATGTGTCTTCTTTAAAAAGTATATAACTAGATTACAAACAAACAAACTCGACAAACTCTGTCTTTGTCTTGTAAGTCAAGTCTGTTTACATTGTAGGGGCCATGGAAATGCACCACTCAGATCTCTGACAGTAGGAAATATAATTGAGGCTGCTCTGAGCCTACCACCTACCACCACAATCCACCCCAAATTGACAGAGGAAATACTCTTGCTGCCAGCTAATGACTGACCCCAGCAGGGACACTGATGCCCATGCCTAGGAGAGCTTAGGCTCCTTTGATGGCTTCAGGACTCTCCAGGTGAATGGCTGAAACTTTCTTGGAAGTGCTCTACCCTCTGAGACTCTACCTACCTAACTCTACTTCATTCTCGCTAACCTTTTCAAAACAAGAAGTATTCTCTAAATTGGTGATTGTCTCTATGATTTTCAGTATATAGATATTCCCAGTAATCTTCAGGTTTTTTCAGCTCCTTTGCTCACCCTGTTTCTTAAAACTCTCCTTTCATCTGAGTTCTATTTCCTTAATTCTGAAGCAAATTCTTTAGTAGTTCTACTAAGGTTGTGTGGGTGATAACCTTAGGCTTTGTACACCTGAAAAGATCTCTTTTGTGCTCACTTTTGAGTAACAGTTCAGTTAGATACAGAATTCTAAATGCACAGATTATTTTCAAGGTTGTCCTGGATGTTCTGTGATTTCATCGAGGCTGCGTGAGGTATCACATTTAGGATTTGATGCCTTATTTCCATCTTCATCAGTGGTTTCTCTTCATAAAAGTTTTGCTTTGGGGATCGTCCCCCAAAGTACTAATGTATTTTCTGAATCCTGTTTTCCGCACCTCAGACTTGTCATTTTTGTCCTTTACAATCTAATCTTTGTAATAGATTGTAATAGATCGTGGAAAGCACAGAGCCTGTCCCTTCATGTCCCCACAACTCCTCCTCCCATCGGAATCCAGAACATTTATTGAGAGACTGAATGAAGTAAAGAGCAGGGACTCAAAGCTGGTTTTCTTGTTAGTCCCTCAAGGATTCTCTTCCACAATCTAACATGATCTGCACCCCCTCTGGGACCACATAACACGACCCACACACCTGGATACGATTGCCACAATTCTGGTTACCTTAGGCTATACTCCCATTCCCTCTCAACTCTCACTACAGGGCAAAGCTCTAGGTAGTCTAAGCCCGGGCATGAATGTCATCCACTCAGAAGCCATCCCTCACCCTCCTTTCAGCCCTAGCCTGTCCCACCCTCCCTGGGTAGTTAACTTCCCAACACCTTTACATTCTGTGAGGTCTCAGAACTCACCATTATTTCGCTATCATTTCACAACTGAGGTGGCTGAGAAAGGCAGAGAGGCAGAGGGTCAGTTACACCGAAATCTGGGTACCGCAAAGATGCTGCTTGCGCGGCTGCTGAGAGAGGAGAGGGAAGGAAAGTCCGGAGCGCTGATCCGGTCTCTGGGCAGCATGTGGAGGATCTGCAGCCGCGGGGCGTGGACCACCTGGACTGACTTCCTGGCTCTAGCCTGGGTCCCACAGATACAAGAGAGAAGTCGCGACGCACAGGGCAGGTGAACAGCAGCAAGCGAAGCCTTGGCCATGGCTGGGCACCACTTCCAGAGGCAGCGGGGGTTGATGGTACCGTGGGGCAACTGGAGCCAGAACTTTTCCTCAGCCCCGCAGTTGCGAGGCGCAGGGCAAAAGCCGAGGCAGCTGGGGAGTCTGGCGGGGATTGTGTTGTTGAGCCCTCCAGGAGGGCCCTGCCAAGCCGAGCGGCCAGAGTGCAGACGTGCGCTTGGCCTCCGGAGATCGGGCCAGCAGTGCCCGGGAAGCAAGTCCGCTTTGCGCCCTCCTCGGAGAGTTCTGTCGCCAGGCAGGAGCCTTCCTGAAGGCCTGTGGGCCCCTTGGGTAGGGCGTGGCTCGAGGACCCGCCCCTGAGGCGGGAGGAGTCAGAAGGCGGGATACCTCCACCCCCAGGGCTCATGAGCCAAGTTCTCACACGGGTGGCGTGGCGCTAGACTTGGAGGCGGCCGAACTGCAAACGCGTCCCTAGCACAGCAGAGAACCGAGGTGAGACGCGCTGTTCTGCTCCCCGGGACGGAGCTGCGAGTGGGCATGGAGGGTTGGGATTCGTCTCACTTCTACTGGTCTTTCCCAGGGGCAGAGTTTTAGTCTTGCCTTTGACTGCCGGTTCTTCCCTTCCCTCTGACACCGGCTTTCTCCATCCTCTCCTTTTTCTCCCAGTGCAACGCTGTCCTCGCCCTCTGCCTCAGTCTTTTGTCTCATTGTCTCTTCCAGTTTTTCTCTCTCATCTATTTCACTTTTTATGGTCTATCTCTTCTTTACTGCCTATTCCCCCTGTCCTACGCCTAAACCAGATCCACCTCCCCCGCCTTCTTTCTCTCCCCTCCCTTCTTCTCCAGATTTCCCACAAGAAATCTGCCTTGCATTCCCCCCTCCCCCCACACACATCCCCCAGGTTGATTTTTGTTGTTTTGTTTTTTATTTTTTTAATTAAATTTATTGGGGTGACATTGGTTAATAAAATTATATAGGTTTCAAATGTACAATTCAATAATGCATCATATGTATATTGCATTCTGTATGTTCATCACCCAAAGTTAAATTTCCTTCTGTCATCATGTATTTGACCCTCTTTACCCTTTATCTACTTCCCCCCTCCCCACTTTCCTTCTGGTAACCACTAAACTGTTGTTCAAGTCCACCAGTCTCTGTTTGTCTTGTTCATTTGTTGCTTTTAGTTTATAAAATTAAGTTGATTTTTTGGGCTGCAGTTATTTTCATCCATCCACCTATCTTCTCATTCACTGATCCTATGTTGCTCCATTATTCTCAGCCAGGACTTGTGCAAGGCTCTAGACTAATAAAGGTGCATCTGCCCTAGATCCTTTCTCTGACAGATTCTATCTCAAGATCTGGGCATATAACCTGTTCAGTCCTGTTGTGGGGGGAAATACATAAATGAACAAGTTATAAATCCCTGAGTTTTCAGGGCGAGGTAAAAGAAAATACTTGGATTTAGAGACAAGGCAGAAATTGAATCCTTTTCTTGACATTTACCTTTAGTAATAGGCATAGACAGCACCTAAGGAAGCTAAACCTTGCCAGAATATTTAGGGGACAGAGGGGCCCATACTATCCTTGTGTGGTAGCAGTGCCAAGGCCAGGCTGTTGGGGAGAGAGACAATGGGAAAGCCAGGACTTTGCATGTGAAGCATTTGGGTCAGAGTTGAAATAAGAAATTCACTATATATTTCCAAAATATGTACTTGTCGATGCTGCTGATGTGCAGAAATTAAATTACGTCATTACAGTTGAATGAGACAGACATTTTATAGCAATTATTGTAGCATTTGAAATTAATGTTTTTGTATACATTAAGTAGAACCATGGTGCAAATATTTTATTCTAATATCAAAGATCGTCTTAGACACATTCTAAGGGAAGAAGTCTAGATAAATCTGAATGATTTTTGAGGAATAAAATAGAAGTATTGTATATCAAAGCAATTTTTTGCTTTTTGTTAAAAATTTATTTTTGTCAGAGTTACATGATTTCATTATTTAGTGATATTTTATAATATATATAGCTATATGTTCAAACACGCGATACTAAAACTATATTTTATACACACACACACTAAATTGTAAAAAAAACCCAAAAAACAAAAAACCTTGTTTTTAAAGCTATTAATTACCACCTAACAATTGAAGCTTTGGGTTCTTATAAATAATTTAGCTTGCTTTTTTAGTTTATTGTGATATTTAATGATAATTCAGCATATTTAACTGTTCAGTTGATATGTCAGTAGATAAATCACACAGAAGAAGTAAACAAAAATTAAATATGATGGAAGAGGATTGCAGTGTGTTTATTGAAAGAATTTTTCATTTTAGATCAAAGTATATTGGACAAATTCTAAGGTATATGCTTGGAACTTTGAGTCAGAAGACTGTTTTCTTGATTGAAGAGTTAAATTGTCTTTTAAGTCATTTTAACCACTGACTTCCAATGTATTAGAGTTCTGGGGTAGGCTGAGGGGAAAGGGTTGGTTTTCAAATGACTTAGAATTATGTGTGCTTTGCTTGGAAGATTTCTTTTTCAGAAACCCAGGAGGTGACAAATTTTCTTTAAAACAGGTAATCATACCATTTTTAAAATTCTGGGTTAAGTCTCAAACTTCAATGCTTTTAAATTTTTTTCCCCCTTTAAATAGGCTATATCTCTCTAGCAGATGACACTATTGATGACATCAGGCAGAGGCTGGCCGGGAAGTCTGATGTACAAACTTGGTCCACGTGGCCAAGTTGTGTTAGGACTCCAGCTGACCTCCTTGTGAGCCTGGTGGCTGGCTGCATTCTGAGAATCTTGCATTTGGTTTTGCTTGAACACAGCAAGCATTAGTGCTGGAGGGGTCTAGGCATAGTTGGACATGAAGCCTATGGGGGCTGGCTGGGAAGACCTCTTCTCCCTCAGCTCCATGTCACCATCAGTCAGCCTTCAGAGAAGCTTGTGTAACTCTTCAGTTTTTAATTTTCTTAGAGTTCCAGAGTTAAGAGTATGACTAGAAAAATGTGTGTTTCTCTTTTCAGGAAAACCAAGAACCTCACAGTGTATATGCAGAAGAGGTGGATAGATGATTATCTTTTGGAATCTTCCAAAAGGGTCTGAGAAGCATCTCCAGAGTTTAGAGAAACTAAAGGATTGGAGCACAGGAGGTATTTTCTGTGCTTGTTTATTCTAACTGAAGAGAAAGGCAGACACAGGAAGCCACTGGCTGGAGGTATAGATGGTGTCATTGAATATGATCTAGTTTCTGAGCTGTAGCTTGGAACTACTGGAGGCTGGCCAGCTGAGTTGGAGTAGAGAATATCTTCAGATATCTCAGGAAAATGAGGTCTCATAGTTGTTTGCTAAGAGCTCTTTTCTCTCTAAGTGTGTGTGGGTGGGGGAGGGGAGTGCTGAGGAAATTTCCTGGCTGTTTGGTCATTCATTAAACAGTATTGTGCACTGGTCCCTGGGAACATACGAGTAGAAGAAAGGTGGCCATGATTCTGACCCTTTGTACCAGTGTGATAATAAGTTGATAAATTGATATAACCTAACATTTATTGAACCAGTCTCTTTAGCACTTTATTTATTTTTTTAGGCAAGGCAACCCTTGGTTGACCTCACAGATTGCAAGGACCTTGTCAGCTTACAGTCCCTTATTTTTCATTTTTTATGCTTGCAGCACCTAGTCTTCCTAAGTGGTCTCCCATCCAAATACTAACCAAGCCCGACCCTGCTTAGCTTCTGAGATCAGACGGGATCAGGCTTGTTCAGGGTGGCATGGCCGTAGACCCTTTTTAGCACTTTAGATATATTACTCCATCTAATCTTTATAATCACCTGATGAAGCGGGCACCAAGATGATCCTTTTTTTAAAAAAATGAGAAAATAGAGGTAGGAGAAGATCAGCACCTTGTCCAGGGTCACAGGTTCGGTAAGAGGAGAGTTAGGTTTGATCCAGGCATCTGACCTGAGAGCCTGTGTACTTAAATCTATGTGACATGACTTGATGATTACATGGGACGGCCTGGTTATGGCTTCCTTTTTCATGAGGGATAGGAGGCAGGGCAAGAGGAAGGAGCTGACATGAGTCCAGGTGGTATTTATGCATAACAAGCCTGTGGAAGTTCCTGTGAAGAAGCAGTTCAGCTGCCCACGTCCTCCTGAGCCTGGGATAAATATTTTCTAATGATGAAAAATTGGAGCACTCGGTGGAGTGCAGCCTAGCAGTACTGCTCACCAGCTGAGCAAGGTGCTTGAAGATTGGTTTCCCAAGGTGCTTGGAGATTGGTTTCCCACTGATGGAGCTGATTATGGAAAGGCAGAGATGAATGCTTCCCTGGCAGGGATGATGGCACCCTCTCCTCCTCAGTGCCACCCTCATACATGGCCACTATATGTCTCCACTCAAAGCCTCGAGAGGCTTGTCCATTTGAGTATGCCCAGCAGGCGGACACAAAAGGACAATTGGCAGTCACCAGGTCAACAGAAGAAAAACAAGTGGATTAATGTGGTAGGAGAACAAAGTGTCTACCCTTCCGGTGAGTAGAGATGGAAGAGAGATGGCTGACCCCTAGGTGTAGGAGCAGAAGCCAAGCAAGCTCCAGACCCACCCCATCATGCCTAGGTATTTATTGCTTCAGCTTTTATCTCTCTGGACACCTGTGCCTTCAGGAGCTCCTATCCCTAAGTGCTTAAAGTTCTTGGCACTTTGGATGTTTTGGGGGAAAATCGGCAAGGAATGAAAACTGCCCTAAATTAGAGTACAAGCATGTTAGAACTGTCAACAAAGTCATAACTGTCTGGTGGACACCTTGTGTGCTCTGTTAACACCAGTGGCTACTGTCTGGATGCTGACAGGTGAGCCATGCCTCTGGGTGGCATCATTGTGCAGTGTGGTTCATCCTCCCTAAGAGAGTCCTGGAGGTGAAAGCAGGTGGCATAGAACTCTGAGACAGGGTGAGTGTGGCATCTATAGTAGTCAGGGTTTTTTGGATGCAAACAACTAGTGAAGAGCACCTCTTCTTAATGCCTGTTGCTTCCTCTCTCTGCAGAGTCCTGTAGTCCAAGTGTGGCTGGCCCAGCCATTAGGGGAGCTCTCCAATTTCATAGCTCTTCCTTGGTCCAAGCCCTCCAGACCAGCAAAACCCTGAAGATGACAGCCGTTGGAGTGTCTACCTTGCTAAGCTGTCTCAGGCCCTGCTAGTCAACATGGCTGCTGGGAAGGGGGATCTGCAGAGCCCTTCAGCTGAAAACAGATGTCAGCTTAGTGAACCTGAGCAGGGCCAGGGCTGCAAGCCAGTGCTGCTGGAGAAAATGAACCACCTGGACTCTGAGGCTTCTATGGATGGTGGTAGTCAGGATGAGTCCTTTGCTGAGCCAGTAATGTCAGAAACCTCAGGCAAGCTCAGATTGGGAAAGCCACTGGCTCAGAAAGTGTGCTGGGAACAGGCTCAGAGTGCCTTTACTGAGGTGACTCGGCTCAAGAAAAGGCTGGAGGACAGGCAGGCCAAGGATAGGGAGAATGGTGACCTCACAGGCCAGCATAGTCCCCAACAGCTGACCCAGGACATCCCCAGGGAACTATCTAGCAGCACAGTCTTTTCTGTGTGGTCCAGCAGAACCCGAATGGAGCAGAGAAGCGCCTTCAGTAAACCAGCCCGGTATCCATTAGGGAGACCTGGGTCTACCTCTTTCTTCCAGGAAGGCAGACCTGCAGATGCCCTCGGGGAACTGTTGGGACTCATTAAAACGATAGATGGCCCTTGTTGGGATCAACTTTCAAATTCCAAGCTTTTGGTGGGTAATTTCTGGAACTTGCAAACGTTGCCACAGAATGCTCCTCTCTGTGGTGCTTTCTTGGGTGCCCCCACACTGTGGCTAAAGCATGCCATGGCCCAGATACCTACACCCTCCTCATCCTCGTCTATTGCCTCTTGGGCCCTCTTGCCACCCACATTCACCTCCCTGGGCTTGTCCACCCAGAACCGGTGTGCAAAGTGCAACCTCTCCTTTCGCATGACCTCTGACTTGGTTTTCCATATGCGGTCCCACCACAAAAAGGAATATGCTGGGCCTGACCTACATTCTAAGAATCTGAGAGAAGAGGCCCTCTCATGCCCCATTTGCCATGAGTACTTCCGGGAGCGCCACCATCTCTCCCGACACATGAGTTCTCACAGTTAACAGGTGGCTATGGAACAAATCTCTAGGTGCAGTGTTCAGCATTTGGCAATGAGGCAGAGATGACTCACCGGAGCTTCCTTTGAAGAGGCTGTTTGCATTTGTCTTCAGAACCGTCTACATTGGAGTGTGTAAATGAACAGATCAGTCATAATTTGAAAAAGAAAGCCCTTGGCTGTGATGAGTTTTAAAGTAAATAATGTCATGAAATAAAACGATGTGCTTTGCTAATTCAGGGTATCAGGACTACTTAGCACAAAGTGTTTATCACATCTTCAAGAGTGGAGGCCCTGTTTCTCTCACTATTCCTTTTGCTCCATATGAAGTCAAGTTTGGCACACAGCATGGGCTTTGGGGGCAGACAAACCTGCATTTGAATATTGGTCCTTTTACATACTAGACTTGACAGTTAAATTGCTTTAACTGTCTGAGCTCCAGTTTTCTTATCTGTAAAATGGAAATCATAACACCTCTGTTTTAGGGATGTTGCTAAGGTTACATGGAAATATGTGTGGAAAATGGCCAGCATTGCACCTGGCACAGTGTGATCACTGAGTAAACACTGTTTATTATCATTGTCTGGATTAATCAGCTGTTATTAAAAAATCAAAGTGGCAAACAACCCAAAGTATCTGTTTTTCACTCATGGATATGTGAGTTTTCTGGGGTTGAGCTGGTCTTGGCAGATCTTAGCTGAGTTTGGCTCCAGGTCACGTATTTCAGTCCATGCTTATTTTTTTTCTCTAGGACTGTTGGGCTACCCGGATCATGCTTCTTTCATGGTTATGCCAAGAGCACAAGAGAGCAAGTCTAAATACACAAATATGGCCTAGACCTCTACGTGGGTCACTTTTGCTGATGTTTACTTGGCTAAAGCAAGTTAATGGCCAAGCCCAAAGTTAAAGAGTGAAATATGCATGCTGCCCTCGGTGAAGCTATGACAGAGAGTAAGTGTTATCATCCTACTACAGGAGCATAAAGACTTGGGATCAATTCAACCATGGTTCTTTATATTCTGAATACGTACGAAAGGAAAAATGGAACAACACACTTCCCCACCCACCATGCACCCCTTAGCTCTCAGGAAGGGAGGATGTGCAAAAGTTTAAGGCTTAAAATATTGTGAGAATTGGGAGAGTTTTGGGTCCCATTATTATATATTCTGCTTATCTATGTTGTCCTTCCAAATCTTAGGTTATAAATTTTGATGTCATGCAGACCAGTTTGTGTGAAAGACATTTGTTGGGAGTTCTTTTGAGTCAATGCAGTTCTTTTGACTAGTCTCCACTTCATTCTCAGGATTTGTTCATTTGACCTGCAGTTTGCAGCCCTCTGGTGGGGCATTCTCACAGAGCTCAGGTTTATGGTTGGGAAGGAGCTGATGGGGGTACCATGGGGGAGGCCCAAGTCAGACCTGTGGGGAGGGGAGTGCAGTACCCGTGGAGACCTCCTGAAGAGCAGGGACATGAGCTGAACTTCTGAGCCTCAAAGTCCAGCAGGGGCTGGTGATTCAGACAGGTAGGACAGTGGCTGGGAAGAAGGGGTGACCCAGAGCTATAGAAATCCTAGGGTGCTGCAACGTCAGTGTGAGGAAAACTGAGTGGGGGAGGTGGCCCTCAAGAGGAGATGGAGACACAGGAAAGCCTCAAAGGGGAGGAGTGGACTAGGGCACAGGAGGGGTGGCTCCAAGAAGCACTTCAAGGGGGCCTTTGCTGCAGTGGGAAAGGTGGGTTGGAGGAGAGGAGATGACCACCTGAGCCATTTTCCTTTGTATCTGGAAGAAGCCAGAGGTGCTCCCTGCAGACATCAATGGAGCACTTCCATTCTCACAGGGAAGTTTGGAGGCCCTGCACTGCTAGAGAGGGACGAGGAATGGTCTGCAAGCCGGCCTCTTTGGGAACTGCGCAGGGGCAAATTTGCTCACAAAGAGGCTGTGCCCAAATTGGCTGAAGCTGTAGGGATCCTCCCTCTCCTTCTGTCCTATGTGGGACAGAAAAGGGCACCTCACGGGTTTTGAACCTGAGGCTCCACACTATGCACTAACATATATCATTTAATTCATCCATGAGATGATATTTAATTCCCATTTTACTGCAGAACTAAACTCCAAGAGGTTAACTGACTTTCTTAAGACCGTGGGTATAAGAACAAGACCCCAGGAACTTCCCACTCTGAGCTCGCATTCTTCCCAGCCTATCACACATTTCTTCAGCATGTGCTCACATGGTATTGTGTATGATTTAAAAACTGAGACTTAGAACCAGGTCTTAACTTCAACTTGTACCATGCCCACCCTCCCATACACACACACATTTCCTATTGCCCTTTTCTTTAGCACTCTTTAATATCTTGCATACTGTGTTATTTTATTGATTTGTCCTATTTACTGCCTCCCATTACAAGAACTTAAGCTCCATTTTTGCTGTTTTGTGCACTGCTGTATTCCCAGCAGCCAGAACAATGTAGGCACGTAGCAGATGTTCAACAGGCATTTGTTGAAGGAATGAATGAAATGCCTAGTTCTAGTCTCCTTGCTGACAAACCTGAATCAGCTTATCACAGGGTTTTATCATCTGTCAAATTATGTGCACAGCCATTCAACTCTGGCTTATTGGATTGGTTCATAATTTATGACTTTGAAAGGCATAAATGTACTGTACTAAGACAAAATAGAAATTTAGAATTGAAAGAGACTGTAAAGTTCTAGTTCATTTTCTCACTTTACAGTAGTGAGCACTGAGGTCCACTGATGAGCTGATCTGCAAAGTGATACAAGACAAGTGGTGGTGAGTCAAGGCCTTAGATCCATGAGATATCTAGATCTGTGCGTCTTCCCTGGCCTGTCTCGACTCCTCAAGGAACCATGCATCATACGGAATTATCACTAACTATGAGCACATCATTTACAAACAAGGAAAATATTTTGAAAAATAATAAAGTTAATTAAATTAATTAAATTTATAAAGAAGCACAACAAAACATCTTCCCCCAACTCAATTTTTAAGATGGAGTTTATTTTGGTAAAAAGTGATATAGATGCGAGTTGCTTTGCAGTCATTTAAAATGACTGAAATATGATTTTTAGAGGTGATGACACACAGCTTATAAATGTGGCAGTTCCTGCTTGTCACTAGGCTGGATTCCCAAAGTCCCCTTGGCAGTCAAATCCTGTCTCATCCGTTCTTCTCTCCTGCCCTCCTGTATCTACCGGAGAATAGTCTCTTTTAATCATGACTTTTCCCAAGCTCTCTTAGCCACCTTCCATACCAGTTAAAGTTTGGCTGGTGATTTTGCCATAAAACATCACATCAGCAGGTATGAATTTTCTCTACAATTCTGGGATGAGAATTGCCACATTTCTTAAATTCTCTGTATCAAATTTAATCTTCTCTGTACCTCAATCCCGTGGTTTTGGTAGGATATGCAATCTGTCATTCTGAAATTCCTCTCCTGCCTCTCAAGTTCAGAGAAAGTTCTCTCCCACCTAAGAAGGCACCCTCTCTTAGCATCATACCATCTCCCCATGCTGTTTTGGTGTCTTTGCTTTTATTCTCCAATGTGCTCTATCTTCTCTCCTCCGCCTCTTGCAGGATCTTAGTCCTTTGCATTTTTCTGGCAATGCTGTCATTAGGTGGGGGATGTAGAAGCCACCGAGTCAGTGAACAGAAAGGCTTGGCTAACTTCTTAGACAAAGGAAGTAGAAATACCTGTAGTGACTGCAAAAATGGCTAATTGTATCTCAATAAATTATCTCCCAGCATTCATTCAATTAATATTTATAAAAGTCCACAAGATGTCCTAATGAGGCTAAAATAATGCATTCTGAATTCACATCCATTTTAGTTCTTAATTTTAATCAAGATATGCTTTTCTTTCTGTTTTTATCTGGAAGAGAATTAAAACCTCGATAAGGCTGGGATCCTGGATTTCAACTTCTGACCTGAATCTTAGACCATGGATTCTGCTCAAATGATCATATAATTGGGTAAATGAAAGTGAGTAAATCCCGCTCAGTTTCGGGGGAGAGAAGAGAAAAGAGAGGAAAGGTGGTCCTGACACCTGGAGCTCATGTTCTGGATGAAGGTTCCTCAGTGCCAGGCTGAACACAGGTTTAAAAGAGGCCAGAAATCAGGACTGTATGTGGAATTAAGGGTCAACTGACTTAATTGTTTTTTAAACACTAAGCCAAAATGGCATGGACTTAAGGAAGCACGTTAGTGATGGTGGTGATGGAGAGGGGCAGGTACCACCAGCTGGAGACCGCTAACTCTATTATGGTCCCACTTTCTGAATAGGCTGGGTGCTGGGCCTTGCACTGCTAGCCTCAGCATACTGCCCTATTCCTCTGGGCACATAAAGAGAATTCTCCGTAGGGTGAAAGTCTGTAGATATTGTCTCAGGGTGAACTTTGCATCCTTCCTTATTTTGGTAGGTGCTCACACCCCCTGGAGGCAGCAGGCCTCCACTGCAGGCCACTTATCTTCAGAGCAATGGTTAAAACGCCCTGGCTATTTGCATAATATTTTTATTTTTTGTAGTACAAGTCATGTACTACATGTACTAAAGATCACATAGCAAGATATGAATCTCATAGAAAATAAACCTTTTATTTTAAAAAATAAACCATTCTCCGGTGTGTTTTGATTTTTGCTACTTCTAGAAAAGAATTTTTGGAAACCAGTTTTGAATAGGGACTGAGAAGACAGTGCATGATGGGTGGAGGGCTGTGGTTATTTAAATTTAACTTTTCTCTTCCCTGACCATCCCGTTTTCCTAGGTAGAATACAAGGAAGTCAGTGGCCTCTGATACCCTTGCTATTCTAAGATACTTGGATTAGGAGACTATTTTCAGAGTCAGCTGCCTTGCTCAGCAAGGCAATGAATAGGTCCTTAGGCCAGGTAGCACTAATCCTATAGGGACCAGGATGTGCGAGATGAGTGCCCTCCAGTGGGGACCTCAGAGGCAGGTTTCCTTGCAGTGTGCTTCCGGCTGCGTCATTTTTCTGAGCCATGTTTTCTTGCATTAAGGCCGTGTGGGTCCTCCATTAAAACTGTGAAGCCAGGGCCCTCATTGACATGCAAACGTGGTCACTGGTTGTGTGTTGGGCTGTGTGGGCAGATGCAGGAAGCAAGAGAGTAAGATGGGGAAAGAGCTGATTTTCTCCTCTGGTGCTCCAGTACAGCTTAAAGAAAGAGAACCCATGGGGTCCCACAGGTGCCCCCTTCACAACCCTTCTTGAATAAGTGCCTGGCCCCTATTGGGGGTGTGGATCAAGTTTCCAGCAAGGATTTGATGATGAAGTTCACCTTTTCTTTCTTATCCTAACTACATAGAGTTTGGCAGAGGCATGGTTTGTTCTATTGGAATACACCGGCATGGGGCCTCTAGCACCCAGAGCCACTTTCTTCCATCTCGCCCACCCTGGCCCTGTGCTGTCAGCCCCTGGTCAGGAAGCAGGTGTGCTCCACTGCACCTACCCACTGAGGCTCACATCTGGTCTCCTGAATCTTCTCTGCCTCTATCACTTGCTGTGGCTGGCCTGACACCCTCAGTATCTGTCCCAAGGTGGGGGCAGGAGGAGGATATGGGCCCAGCACATCACTGTATTCCTTTCTCCATATAATGACTCTGTAGTTTGGCTGCCCAGAGTGTGGTCTGGGTTTGATGAATGATAGGGAAGCCCCTAGTCCTCTCCTGGCCCACAGAGCCAGCTTTGAAACTCTTTCAAGTCCTTTATAATCCATTTGTCACTCTTGTTATTACAACACAGCCTAGCTGGAGTCTTCTGGCCACTCCAACACCCCTGGATGAAGCCAAAGGGGGGCACCCTCAGCCCTTTCTGCTCACTCTTGACTGACTTCCCTTCTCACCATGTTCCAGGAGGGCTAGAGAAATAAAACCCCTTGAGTGTCTACATCATATAATAATGTCCTTTCAGTAGAGAGGGGCCTCATTTGTTCATTCATTCATTCATTCATTCATTCATTCATCATCAATGGTATGCTGAGCTCTCCTTACCAGATGCCAGGCTTGTTTAGGGCTGGAGGAGCTGAGGCAAACAGATTAAGTTCCCATCCCTGACTGCCCCACAGGACTGGGGAGACTGATAATGCAAGAGAGACAAGCACTGTGGCGGGGTTCGCAGGAGATTGAGGAAGCGCACAGAGAAATCAAGGAACTTTATCTGACCAGATGACATCTGAGCATGTCCTGGACAATAATAGTTCTAATGAAGAAAAAAATGAGATTGCAGGATATATAATACTACTAAAATTCAATCATGCAGTTAATTTTACTTGAATTTAGCAGAAGGAAAAGGAACTTGAGTGAAATCTTCCCTTCTATCCGGGCTTTCCTATTTAGATAGGGTTGTTTCAAAGTTTTCCAGGGGGGAAATGCCTTGGTATAGGTAATAACCCAGCAGTGTGCCCAGATTCCACAGCTCTCTGGATTTTAGGCGCAGAAGGGCTGGTGAAATCAGCGTTGTATGGTTAAGTCAGCCCAATGCCCTGGGGGAAGTGGCCTGTGGCAGTTGCAGCCTGGTCTCACCAGACAGCAAGGCCAGGAGGGACTAGTACTTAATCTTCACTCAGACATCTTGGAGCCTGGGGCTCCAGAAGCACTAAATGGGGGCTGGGGTCCCCTCCTGCTCTTCTAGCCTCACCCTCACTGTTACTTTGGGCAGGGTCCTAGAAGTCTCTCACTTTTAGGTCCCCAATGACTCCAGTAGAGCAGGGTTTCATGGCTCCCAGGGCACTAGCCAGGGGCACTCGGGTCCCTTGGGCTCCCTGTCTCCTTCTGGGGTTTGCTCATTTCTGGAGGAGGTCGTGGGATCTGCATGCTACAAGCTTCTCACCCTGTAAGGAATGGGCTTGGTCACTAAAGCCAGCACAGTTACAGGCTGCACTTGAATGAGTAGGGCCACTCAGACTACCACCTAGGACTGCTCTCCTTTCTGGTAGCAATATGGCATGTTGGGACACCGCATGGCTTTTGGGGCCCTGGCAAAAGCTGGAGAACAGGGGTGTGGGAATAACATGTGAAGGAAAAATAGACTTGCTATGTAGAATTGGATTGAGAGGGTTTGGGATAGGGAAGAGAAGATTCTAAGTAAGCATGGACTTGCCTTCAAGTGTCCGAGGGCTGCTACCTGAGGAAAACTTGCAGCCCAATATTCACATGTGTTCACAGGGCATCCATTACCTGGGGTAGATCTGGACTTCTCTTCCCCCAAAATAACTACCTACTGTGGAGAAGGCTAGCTCCCTGTCCCTAGATGTTCAAACAGAAAGGACTCTGGCAGTGGCAGAGATGGGATGGATGAGCTCCAAGGGTACTTCCAACACAAAGCCTAACCAGAGCTCAGCAGGGCCCTTTTCTGTCCCTTGTGGGACTCATGCAGGACCACGTGCCTGAGGTGCCTTAGCGTCCATGATGTGTGGCCCAGAGATCCCGCTCACCCTGGGGCTCTGCCCACGGAGGCCCTCTTGGGGGCCCTGCTGGCCTGGACTCCGCCGGACCCTCATCAGAGTGTGCTGGAGCATCTCCTTGGCTCTGGTGAGGGCTGCTTCTGCAGGGACAGCCACGTGGGGCACCACGCCCACCCCTTCCCAGGAGCTGCCGTCTGCAGCCCCTACTGAGCGAGCTGTGGGGATGGTGATGTAGAGGTGGGTATCATCCACATGGTAGGTTTGTGGAGGCTGGCAGCCCCCACTGGTCACTTCCCCAACAACTAGTGCCCGGCCCAGCCTCTTCATGATGTATGTAAATTCCTCCGCAGCGCCGGCTGTCACACCACTGGTCAGTATGACCATGCTCTTCTTGGAGCCATAGCGTTCACCTGCAAGAGAGAAGGCCTTTCAAGATGGGGAGTCAAGTCACCTCCCTGGGGAACCTGCCTTCTCGAACTGCCTGGACCCAAGAGATGAGGGCCTGAAATTTAGTTCTGCATGCTTGTGTCCACATGCAAGTCACTTCACCTTTCTGAATCCCCGGTATCTGCATCTGTAAAATGCAGATAAGAACATGTACCCAATCCTAAGCATGTAAGTGCTTTAGAGCCCCCTGGGCCCCCATACAGGTTCTTTTATTACCAAATAGTGGGGAAAGACTTGACTTTTTTTCAGAAAAGGGCATACTTCTTTTTTATGAATAATGAGAACAATTAAACTGACCAGATTTTCTTTTCACTTTAGATTCTCAGAGGAGCCAAATTTGTGACTTAACAAGTCTCTAGGACAATGATGTCTAACAGAAATGCAATATGAGCCACAGATGTCATTTTGTTTTCTAGTAGGCACATTAAACAAGCATAAAGAAACAGATGAAATGAATTTTAATAATGTTTTATTTAACTCACTATATCTAAAATATGTTCTAAAAAATATAATTAATAAATTATTGATGTGATATTTTAAATCTTTTCCATAAAATATGTTCAAAAGCTGGCATTCACTTTACACTTTACACATCATAATTCATATGTGCCACATTTCCTTGCTCAGTGGCTCTCATATTGGACATCACAATTCTAGGACACCATGACCTACAGAGCTGAGTCTATTTTAATCCCCTACTCTTGAATGTCTATTTGAATTTAGAATTCACCTTGTTCTGATTTTTATTTACATTTTGCAATATTATTGAATATGTGTCTTGAAAGTTCCCCCCAAATGCTCGTGTGATAAGGAAAATTGTAGGGTGCTTTTTTGGTTATAGCCATACCTCTTTTGGTCTCCCAGTTCCCTTTTGTTGATGGGAGTGCAGGTTCTTTGGTTTTGTGCACTGGGCAAGGGTGATGGAGTGAGGCTGTCCACCAGGAACAGGGCTGGGAAAGTCGTGGCTCTATAAAGCATGGGGCTTGCACTGCTTCAGCCTCTGCTCTGGGCCCAGGGCAGGTAACGAAAGCCCCACCAGCATCAGAACTTTCTTTTGGCAGGTATGCTGAGCTGCTGCTGAGTGTTCAGGTAAGATGAGCACTGGAAACCCAATGAGGTTTGGCAATGGGCAGGGGAGGGGGATCCTTCTAGTTCTGCATTTGTCTTGTAGGCTGATGGTTATAGTGGGGAGAATGGGAGGCATTTGGGTTTTAGACAAGCCAGTGTTTAAGTTTTGGTACTTTCACTTACTAGCTAAGTGATGTTAGACAGGATAGTCTACGTAGTTGAGACTCATTTTTCTCCTCTAGGAAATGGGCATAATTGTACTAATTTTGCGGGGATTAAAGATCATACGTGCAAGTGCATGGCATAAGACAGGGACTTTATTCCACTTATTATTACTTTAACCTGAACCCAAATGTCTTTCTCTAATTTTCCAGAAGTTTCTAGAATAAGAACAGGAAATGGAAGACTTCTGCACGCACCTGCAAGTTGAGAGTGAGTCCAGAGCTCACTGACAGAGTCATTGGGCCGGCTGTAGATTTTGTCCAGCAGAATGGGAGGGCCTTCCTCAAAGAAGTAGGAGCACAGGGCAGAGATAGAGGAGGTGGGGCCACCAATGTTGAACCTGTGAGAAGGGAGTGGAGGCCACTGAGGGCAGAGCTCACAGTGAGACCCTTGATGCCCCTATGGGAGGCCCAGATCTTTGTCCTGTGGAAAGTTCTAATTCCAGGCAGCCTCGGTCTAGTGCCCCTTCCTCTTCCTACAGAATTATTTGGTTGGCGTTCCCCAGAGTATAAGTATTTTGAGAACAAGAGACTTTGTGGTCAAATTTATTTAGAATATACTGCATATCATACTCAGCCTTTCTAATCACATATTTATTGTGTGATACATATTGTATACATTATATTAAAGGCTCTGACAAGTCCTGTAGTCAGGAACTCAATAAATTTCCCCTGCTTACTGACCACAGACTGCTCCTCTGCACCCATGCTGCCTATGAGAGGAACACATTTTGGTAACAGGGTCCTCCCCAGTTGCATTCTTGATAATTTCACAAAACCCACTAGGTGTCTTAGTTGAGGTATCCTAATGTAGCACTTAGTGTTGTGGAGTGCTCAGAGTTGCATGCATCGAAAGTGGAGTTTGCACTTGTACCGAGCCATTTAGATTTAGCTCATTTTGTGACCTCCCTGGGCCTATCTCCTCATCTTGGAAATGAAGAGTGCAAGGCTGGCAGTGTGTTAGGAGCCTCTTCTGGTTGATGATTTAGGATGGCCCAGCTGGGATCAGGGACCATGACCTCAGTGTCTGAACATCCATACCTCAGGCTGGAAAGGGCTTTAAGCAAAGCACACCTGTAGGCTATTCAAAAAATGTGGCTGGTACAGTTAAGCAGATAGGGACTTAGCATGAGGATAGTTTGGCTGTTTAATAGCATTTGAAGAGTAAAGAAATCAGAGGTACACACAAGAGACCCGAAGCTCAAGTTTTGGACACACACCATAGAGCCCTGGGAGACGGTTTCTCTTCTAGGAAGGAGAACAAGTCTCTGGGATCCAGAGCCACCTAGTGATGACTAAGAACCATGGGAATGCTGCAGGCCAACTACAAGACCTGGAAACTCCATCTCAGCCAATCCTAGCTGTATCTCTAGTAATGAGAGTAGGTAGGGGTGGGAACTGTCTGCATCCCGGGGGAGCATCCTGCCCTTCCCTTGTGCAATGAAAGGTGCCCATGGCGAGCCTGCCTATGGACCTGGGAGTCACAGGGGGCCTGAGTCTGGCCACTGCCCCAGGGCATTCTTTGACCTCCCCCCTGTTATAAGACAGAAACCCACCCTATGGGGCACACCTTTACAGAAGCAGAAGGGAGGTGGCTAGCTGAAAGCATCCTTTCAATAATCATTTTGTGAAGCAAAAAATTCTTTTTGCAACGACAGTGGCTAATTTGCACATTCTCTCTGAGACTCTGGCTTTATGATTCTCATGACCAGGGTAGTCATGGGCTGATTTTATATGATGTGAGCCACAACCACAGGTGGAGACCTAGCTGTCTCAAACATGACTGACCATTAGAATCACCTGGGATGATACCTATCAAACACACAGATCATTTGATGTCACCCCTAGAGCTTTTAACTCAGCAGGGCTGGTATAGGGCACTGGAATCAGTGTTATTCATGTCTATCTTCCTCCTCCCCACTCCCTTTCCAAGGACTCCTATGACCAGGCACATGTGGGGACAACAGAATTGGTCCAGTGATTTTTTTAGCCTGGAATGCACATTGAGATCATAAGAGGAGCTTTAAAAATCCACCAGTGCTGGGATCTTGCCCAGCAAATTTAACCAGAACCCCTAAACTACCTGGCCAGAGTCCTGATAGTCAGGTGACCTAGTCCCTTTTAGCTCCAGTCCTGTGTCGCAGGGTCCTTTTTTCCCCCTGAATAGACTCGTAGCTTTTACTGTTCTGGCAACTTCCCTGGTTTGGCCAAGAACCACTGACCCCTAGTCCACTGACCTCATGTCAATAATCATGGCATCCGTGTGTACAATCTTCTTCCAGACATGTTCCACCAGCAGCTCTGAGACCTGGGTGAGTAGCTCACAGTCTCCAAACATGTCAAACCTCAAGTAGCCAATGTTGTCCTCGAGCACGTTAGTGTGGAAGGAAAACTTAATCAGGTCTTCAAAAACTTCAGGGGAAGGGATCTGAAAGATTAACAATCCATCTACAAAAACAATCCATCTACAAAAACTGTGGACCCCTGAGGTAGGCAAGTATTAAGCATTAACACAAACCCCACATTACCAGAAGAGGAAATTGTAGTAATCTCATGCAACTTATTGATCCCTTTCACGAAACTGACAATGAGAAGCCCTGCAAACACTTGCTTTCCACCAGCCAAGAGTGAAGCTCCTTTTATACCAAGGGTTTTCAAACTGAGTTCTTGTGGGCACCAATGTTCCACAGAAGTGCTCAGAAATACCATGGGCATAGGGAGCAACTAAGATGACAAGATGAGAGAGAGAAAAAGATGTGACTAATGAAAACTTAAGCATGAAAACAAGTCTGGAAGCCATTGTCTTGTACCATGCACAAAGCCCTGGATGTGTGGACAATTGGTCAACTCTCCCCAGGACTATGCTGGGCCAAGTCTCCCTTGTATCTCACCTGCATGGGTACAATCCCAGGAATGCGGTCCTTGGCATCCTCAGGGATATGAGCTGTCTTCAGATGTGGATCCCCAGACAGCACCTGCAGGTCAGCACCCAGCATCTCAGCCAGGGCGCTTTCTGAGGTCACCCTCGAGTAGCGGCTCTGCAGACGGCTCAGTTTGGCAGCCATCTTGGCCCCCAGCTCAGGAGAGGCATAGTTGTCGGCGACCAGCTTCCCAGTTGTCTGCAGCACAGTGGGCACCTTGGCGCGCAGGGCTACTATGTCCCGTGCTGTGGAGAGGGCCTCACTCATGGGCACAGTGATGTCAGGCTCCACCCCTGCTAGGTCCCAGGCCTCGCCAGTGCTGGCACTCAGGGCCATCTGTGTGGGCATGGAGGCATATAAGGGGCTGCTGCCCACCTGGTAGATGCCCACAGAGAGCGCTCCCCCAGCTGTGGGCTCCCCAATGACGGTGGCTCGCTGCAGGTCCTGCATGGTGTGAGCAAAAGCCTCAGCGGCTGACCCACTGGTGTGGCTTATCAGGATGTAGAGGTCCTTGTGGGGGCCGTAGCGCTGGCCAGCCACCTGGGGCAGGGTCCACACCTCTGTGACCCTCGAGGTTGCCCTGTCAAAAACAGAATAAAGGTGCTGGCGGGGCTCTGCCTCAAAAAAATAGGAGCAGAGTAGGGGCACAGCTGTGGAGTAGCTGCCAAGATTGTAGCGCAGGTCGACAACCAGTGCAGCTGTGTCCACCAGCTTCTGCCACACCAGCTGTACCAGCTGTGGCCCAATGGCCTTCACTGTCTCCAGCTCGGCCATGGCATCAAAACGCAGATAACCCAGCTGGCCAGGCAGCACCTCTGTCTTAAAAAGGGCCTCGATGAGGTAGGAGAGCTCCTCTGGGGAAAAAATGGCGGGGGGTGGTGGAGGCACCTCCTCTGCTGCCAGATCACCGGGGCTATGGAACACCAGCAGACGATGGTCCCCAGACATCTCCTGCAAGTCGGCTGTGAGCTGAGAGGCCAGGGAGTCCAGGTCCACAGCTGTGCGGTAGGCCCCCTGGGCCAGCTTGGCTCTAAGCAGGTCTCCTGTCTGCCCTACAACCTCTGGGCGTGCATAGTGAGCTTCCAGCAGGCGTCCTGTGCCTTCTACCAAGGCCCCCAGGCTGCGGTGAAACTCTAGCACCTCCTGAGCTTTGTCCAGAGCCTCCTCAGCCAGCACGATGGCATCGGGCACCACTCCACCACCCAGCCAGCACTCGCCGTGGTTGTCGATGAAGGTGAGTACGGGCACAGTGAGCACCAGGCCACTCTCCGGCGTCTCCAGCAGGGGCACCGTGTGGGTGTGCAGTAGGCTGCCCGCCGTGATCTCACCTACCAGCGTAGCCCAGCCCAGTGACTGCATGAGGAAGGCTAGCTCCTCAGCAGCAGTCGCGGTGCGGTGGCTGGTGAGCAGGTACACCCCACGCTGGGAGCCATAGCGCTGGCCTAGCAGCTCCGTGCGGCTGAAGTGCTCCTGTGTGACATTGGTGCGGCGGTCGTAGGTGGTAAAAAGGCGCACCGGGCCGGAGTCAGGACCCTGAAAGTAGGACAGAAGCAGAGGAACAGCAGAGGACGGCCCCCCAGGGTTCTGGCGCAAGTCCATAATAAGGTGCTCCGTGTCCTGCAGGGGCTCCCATACCTGGTGCAGGATGTATGGGCCCAATGCCCCTAGCACAGAGGCATCTGCAAACCTGTCGAAGCGCAGGTAGCCCACGTTTCCTGGAAGCACCGACACCTGGAAAACGGAGTCCACTAGGGCCTGCCGGGCAATCTCATCCTCTGGCACTGCTGGGACCACCTCTGGGGGGTAGTCAGCTCCAGCCTCGGGCCCAGAAGAGGTTTCCCTGGGCCTAATGGCTCGCACCAGGAGCCTGGGGTCCTCGGACACAGCCTGCAGACCAGCGTTGAGCTTAGTGACCAGATCGTCCTCAGAGACCACTGCGGCAAAGTCCATGCTGGCCAGGTGATGTAGTAGGGCCGGCACGCGGTCCACCAGTGTGTAGTAGTCCTGCAGGGCCTCCTGTAGGCGCCGCATGACTCCCGGCAGGGCTCTGCGCAGGGTGAGAATGGCCAGGGCCTTCTCTAGGGCCTGTTCTGCTGGTGTCCCAACACAGGGCAGCACCCCACTGCCCTCCCATGTCTGGCTGCCCCCGCCCAGGGGCCCCAGGGACCTGGACACAGGCACAGTGAGGAAGAAGTCAGACTGGCCTATCCTCAGCTTCTGGAGGTCTAAGGCCCCCCCAACGGTCCGCTCACCCACCACAATGGCCCTGCGCATCTGTTTGAGAATGTATGCTATGTCTTCAGCCACTCCTCCAGTGTGGCCACTGGTGAGAACCACCACATCCTTGTCAGCACTGTACCTCTCCCCCAAGACCTGGGGCAAGGTCCAGATCTCAGTGGTCGTATTGGAGGGGCGGTCGTAGATGGTATCCACATGCAGAATCGTGTTTCCTGGGTGCAGGTAGGAGATGACATAGGGGATGCCGGAAACGTGGCCCCCAGTGCAGTGTCGGAGGTCCAGCACCAAGGCAGAGGTGCCCATAAGCTTTCTCCAGATATTTTCCACTAAGAAGCCCCCCAGCTTGCTCACTACTTCCTGATTCGGGATGTCGTCCACTCGCAGGTAGCCCACATTGCCCTCCAGAACATCGTGGCGGATGCCTTTCTGCAGTTGAGCAAGCAGTTCTTCTTGTGTGAGGTGGGTGAGTGCTGGCACCTGCTGGGGAGCCATGAGGGCACTGGGCTCATAGGAGATGACCAGGCGAGGGTCATTCAAAGAACTCTGTACCCCGGCCGTCAGGACATGGGCCAGTGTCTGAGGGTCTGAGATACCTAAGATCTCGCGACTCTTGATGGCCTGCTCGATGGCTTCCTGCATCCCCATCAGGTTCTCCGGGAAGCAGTAGTTATCCAGGAGGACCTTGGCCATGTCTAGCACCAAGCTCGGCTGGAAGAGGTGTGTGGGGCCAGCCAGGCCACAGAGCAGTGTGGACAAGAGCAGGGCCCATTCTCTTGTCATGGAGAATCAGAAGGAGGGCTGGCTCCTGCACAGAAATTTTCTTGATTGTGTTCAAGGCCACAGCGCTGCCCTGTGCGGCTGCCCTCCTTCCTTGTCCTTCTCAGCTGGCAGACAGAAGGTCTGAGGCTAAATGCGGGAGTAGGGGTGTGGTTTCCACCTTCAGTAAGCCTTTAATCCTGTCTAATTTGAGCTCATCAGCCCTAGGGACTGGGCAGAAGGGGACAAGGTGGTTTAACCCAGAAGGTATACTAAATGTCATTTTGCTGTGTCATCTCTGTACATAATAGTTTGAATAATTACCATTTATTTTTGATTTCCTGCCACATACAGGAACTATGCTCTATGCTTTACAAGCTGATAGTCTTCTTTGCAAGTAGAGTTATTAACCTGCAAGTAAATAACTTTTCCCCACTACACTGGGTGGTCGATGCTTCTCAAATTTGGTAGAAATCATTGGAGGCATGGTTCTGTCATTCTTTATTCCATGGTCTTAGGGAAGTGTCTCACTTATTGTGTAATAATGTGAGAAAATATGTGTAAAGTACTTCACAGTGTCAAGCAAGAAGGAAACACTCAACTACTAAGTTTTCCCTGTTAGATATTATCTCTGTTTCATAGCTGAAGAAACAGTTTAGTAGGTGGGGTATGTGAGGGTGGAGAGAAAAAACTTGTGGGGTCACTGGCTCAGACAGTGCAGAGTTTGAGTCTGAGGTTCCTATCAATTTCAAGGTTTAAAGTTTATTCCTATGTTTTGCTAATGACTCCAGGGAACCTGTGTGGTCCTCCCGACAGCTTTCAAATGATGGTAATGACATGTCTGGACCTGGTGAGTGAGGAGGGAACCTGCCTTCCAGACATAATGGAACCAATGACTCTAGGTCAGATGAAATTAGCTCTGAGATATAGGGAGTGCCCATTCTCCTGCTGATTGAGGGCTCAGCCCACTGCCTGCTGCTCTCAGGGAGAACTAAGTAGTAGAACTTGGGTCTCTGTGGTCCCAGGCCCCACAGGTACCAAGATCAGTCTCCTTATCTGCACGGAGCATATGAGACAATCCCAGGTGAACCAATTGCTGGACTCTCTGTTTCCTAGTTTCTGCTCCTTCACATGAAAGTCATGTGAGTCCTTCCTAGATCCTAGAACCCCTGCTTCTTCTCTGCATCCCTCCAGGGGTGGACATTTCCCTCACTCAACAAGTGAGACAACTATGGTTCAAAGCATGGTCATGCAGCTGAGGAAGAACACTGGGAGAGAGGCCTGGCTCTACTCCTCTCACTTTGCCCTATTATTTCCAGCACACACTTCATGGGCTGTGCAGACAGCAGGCAGGCACTCATGGGTGTCTCAGCAGGCAGCCAGAGGAGATAGACTTGGGGACAGGGGGTGCTTTTTCAGCACACTTGAGAGCCACAATCTGCTCTCTGGAAATCATTATCTGAGGATGTTTACCAAGTGGTTTATGAAGGCCAAAGAGGTCAATTAGCTAAAAGAAACATATTTTTAGCTCATTAGGATTTGTTTAATGCCCAGTGACATATGGTCACATCACTCCACCGTTTGCAGCCAATGAAGTGAGCCTGATTTAGTATAATAATAAGGCCTCCTAAGTGCCTGCTGGGAACACTGGGCCTTTCGCTGTGCCTCTACTTGGGGGAATCAGAACTCTGAGCATACATCCTGGTCCTCTGAGGATACTTTTCCATCATTGCTTGAGCCCAGGCAGAGTCTCTGGACCAAGAAGGGCAGGGATGAAGATGAACCAGAATAAGACTGTTTTAGGGAAAGTGCTTCCCCTATACTCTTATCAAAATGCAGTCTCAGGATGGGATGCCTGGAGCTGCTGCTGTGCATTGATTTAGGTGGATGGCCCAGAGTGTCACAGAGGAGAAAGTGAACTGCAGTCTGTTGCAAGTCACTGGCGTGCCTGAGTTAGACAGTACGTGTGAGGAGAGACAATCTGTCCTTCTTGGGTGTGGCCTAAGCACAGTGGGAGGAAACTCTCCATACTCTCCAGGAGCCAGGGATGCCCTGGCCCCCAAATGAGGGAGAACATAACAGGTGTTCTGGGCAAGTCCCAGAGTGGGAGCCAGGGGATGCTCTCTATCCTCCCATCTGGCCTGCTGGCCATTGGCCCATGGGCTACAGAGAGTCCCATTGCAATCTTGGAGTTTGAGTTTGGAGTTGGGTTGGAGTCAAGAGCCCCAGCCTCCTCCCCCTTGTATAAACAGCCATAGCCATGTGAGTAGAAGTGTCAGGATTGTGGGCGTAGGAGCCCACAGCCAAACTCTACTGCTTCCTAGAGTAGAGCATTAGATTAGGTGACATGATTGCTCTGTGCTTTGACTTCCTCAAAAAGAGAAAAGCCTCACAGTATTGTTTTAACAATGTTAGTGGGTATAACAAAGAAGTCAAGGACTCAGTAGGAGTTGGTGAGAGGCAGATTATGATCAGACCTCCTCTGTGAGGTTGGGAAGAGATATACCTAGGGGCAGGGGTTGCCCTTAAGACCATTAAGACTCGAGGGCTTCTGAGGCCCTGAAGCTTCCACAGGCCTCTGTATGTCTGGAGAGTCTATACATCTGAGAGATATCCAGACTTGATGTTCACTTCAGAGCATACTCCACAGTGACTCCAGCATAAAATTAAATGACTCAAAAGGTATGCTGGTGGGTTGATCAAAAGGAACATGCCTGGAGCTTGGACAATCCAGGAAGGAGTGAGTTATCTGTTACATTGTGGATTCGCTTTTTTCAGTGACCAGAGGCCTTGTCAGTCTGGCTATTTATCCACCTATCTACCCACCCACCTCAGTCTCTCTCTCTCTCTCTCTCTCCCTCTCTCCCGCACACCCCCCACTCTCCATTCCATGTAAGTTTTCCCCTCAAAGCTCATTATGGACATTTTCAAATAGTACGGCAAATATCCATGTATTATTTACCTGGATTCTACCAATGACATTTTATTACACTTTCTTTATCTTACCTCGCCCTCTTCGGCTCCCTCCCTAACCCTCAACCCAACATATTTTTTGGAATGCATTTCAAAGCAAGACGAATATTGTCTTTATTTTATTTTTTGCTTTTTAAAAAATAAAAGTAAAATGTACTCATTTTTATAAGTTAAATGATTCATAAATGTGTGAAAAATCTTTTTCCAAAGCCTTTCTAGCTCAGCCAATAGTAACGGTTTAACGTGTAGCTGTCTTATCCATTTGTCCATTTATCTTGTGTCATCTCATAATAGTATGCACAATAATTTGAACTTTTTCACTTAAACATCCTTCCAAGTTGAAGCATGTATATAAAGTTTATCCTTTGAATAGCTGCTTAATAGTCTTTTATACTGTAATGTAGTGAGGTATATTTTAAGTTGTTTCTGGTTTTGATTCTATAAATAATGTTGTGATAAATGTTCTCAAACACACGTTCTTAAGGATTGGTGCTTCATGTTTCCGTAGAATAAATTTTTCAAACCTAGGCTTGCTGAAACATAGGGAATGTACACTCATTTATTTGATTGTTTTATTTATTATATTTTTAGTAAATCCTAAATTATATAATAAATGCATGTTTTCTTTGTTTTGTTTTTTGTTTTTTTTACAACTTGATGTATAATGACATACAATAAGCTGCATATTTGAAGAGTAGAATCTGATGAGTTTTGACACGTGTATACACCCATAAAACTATCACCACAATCAGGATAACGTATACTGTCCTCACCCCTAAATTTTCCTCATGCACCTTTGCATCTCCATCTCCAGACAAACACTGTAGGTTAGTTTACATTTTCTAAAATTTCATATAAATGGAATTATGCCATATGTACTATTTTTTGTTTGCTTTTACTCACTTTTTATGCTTTAATGATTTTTGAGATTCATCCATCATGTTCAGTGAACCATTAATTAATTTATTTTATTGCTGAGTTATAGTCCATTCTATAGATAGACGACAATTTGTTATGCACTCACATTTTGGTAGACCTGCAGGTTGCTTCCAGTGTATGACTCTTACAAATAAGCTGCTGTGGAAGTTTGAGTATAGATCTTTGTGTGTGGACATATGTTTTTATTTTTGCTAGGACAGGAATGCATGTTAAATGTCTTAATGTTTTCCAAAATTTAAATTTTTACCAGCAATGTATGAGACTTCCAATTCCTCCAAATTAATACGAACAATTTACCAATTGTCAGACTTTTTAATTTTAGTCATTCAAAGGGACATATAGTGGCTTCTCATTGTAATTTTAATTTGGATTTTCTTGAGGACTAATGGTGTTGAGACTCATTTCATATATTTATTGGCCATATATTCTATGGTAAAATGTCTGTTTAAAACTTTTGCTCATTTGTTGGGGGTGGGGAGAAGGAAAAGATTGTTTGTCTTATTATCGATAAGGAGTTATTTTTAAATTCTGGATATGAGTCTTTTGCTTGACACATGTGTTGCAGATATTCCAATCTGTGGCTTGTCTTGTCACGCTCTTAACAATGAATTTTGAAGATCAAGGGTTTTTTTTTTTTTTGGTTAAATTCTAATTTGTCAATTTTTCTTTTATGATTCATATTTTTGGTGCCATATCTAAGAAATCTTTGTCTATCTCAAGGTCACAAAGCTTATCTTTAATGTTTTGTTCTAGATGTTCTATAGTTTTAAGTTTTACATCTATAATCCATTTTGAGTTAATTTTCATGTATGATGTGAAGTAGAATGTCAAGGTTTATTTTTTTTCCATGTGAATATCCAGATGATCCAGCACTAGTTTTGAAAAGAATTCCATTGAATTCTCTTGGCATTTTGTCAAAAAGTGATTTACCACATATGTGTGGGTCTATTTCTGTACTTTGTGTTCTGATATATTCTTCTACTTGGACTGTCTCTTCACCAGTGCCATACTGTCTTGGTTACTATAGTTTATAGTATATCTTGAAATCATGTAGTGTGAGTCTTTCAACTTTGTTATTCTTCATCAAAATTATTTTGGAGTTTCTAGTTCCT